GATTATGCTCTCTAAAATTCATAGTCCTTTCTTTTCCTAGAAATTCAGGTTTCCTTAGTAGCAGATTTTGAGTAGTCTCCCCCTTTCAGCATTTTGTCAGATACCTCTTTACTCCCATACTGAACCATTTTAAATGTGCCTTCCTTAACATCAAATTTATAGTTTCCTGAAAACTATACCTTTTAGTGTTATTTCTTTTGTTTATTTCATAATGACTGATTGATTATATCAGCGTACTTTTGTTAGGAGGCATTGCTAAAAACATGAGTTTGACAAATTTTTAAGAGTGAGATTTTACTTAATATACAATAAATTCATTTCTTATTTAATCAATTTGGAAAGTTCCAAATTTTATGGATTGTTCACTTAGAATGAGGGATATTTTATTTTTGTTTTGCTATATTATCTATTGAGTCAACAGGGCAATACACTTCAATATGGTAAAAAAGTGTTTATTCTTTGCTCCTTCTAAAAATTAAAAATTTAAGAAACAAAATCCAACATCGTTTCAAATTACTAAAGAACAAAAGGTAAAAATCAGGAAAAAAAAAAAAAAAGTGAGTAAAGGTGACTTATTGCCATCCAATAGGCCAGGGGTTGGCAAACTTTCTGCAAAGGGTCAGATGGTAAATATTTTAGGCTTCATGGGCTATACGGTTTGGGTCCCCACTACCCAAACTCTGATGTTGTAGCCATACGCAATGCGTAAATCAACGAGTATAGCTCTGTTTTAATAAAACTTCATTTATGGACATTGAAATTTAAATTTTATATCATTTTCATGTGTCAAAAAATGTTATTCTTCTTTTGATTATTTTTCAGCCATTTAAAAACATAAAATCCATTCTTTGCTCACAGGCCATACAAATAAAGGTGACAGGCTAGATTTTGGTCCATAGTTTGCCGATCCTTGAGTTCCTTCAGCGTAGGGACCATGTCTAACTCATTTTTAACTCCAGCACCCAGCATGGCATCTGATACATACTGAAGATTAAAAATAAAAAGCCTGATGAATAAATGAGTAGATGAAACATAAAGTGTAAACTAGGCTTTTAGTACTTTAATTCATGATCTACCTAATAAGTCGGTGTAAAACCGTTAATTCTGGCATAGCATAGCACTCTAAAAATGCTAAAAATTATTTTTACCTTATAAATATTAAACAGTTTTAAAATTTGCTATAACATAACAAATTTATTTTCAGCTATATAGATGTTATTTTTTTAAATGTTTCTTAATCTTTTAGTCACTTGTAGAACTTGTACATTTATGTCTATAAAGGCTTTTACTTCACCACGTCTATATGCCTTTAACTAAATTTTCACTTTTTAAGAATAATAAAAAATTATTTGCGTAAGAATATCTTCTTTGGGCATAAATTGCTTTTAAGTAATAATGGGACATGAAGAGAAAAACAATACTTTGTACAGTAAGGAGTTATTATGTTCTGTATAATTTCATAATTACTAGTGCTATACCAGTGCCAAGAGATTAACCTTCATCAAAACATGTAACCTATTCTTGAAAAATAAAGCCTATAATATCAAAATAAAACTCCAAAATACTGAAGGGTGAGGATTATTATGGCATTATACGTTAGCTTTAATAGCATCTTATGGTTGGAAGCAGGTGGAAGGCCAGCAGCATATGACTCTCAGATGAACTATATTCTGAGATGCAGGGCCTATAAATAGATACAATTCATAATTTAGAAAAATCAGTTCTGACAGCCTTATTCCTAAAAATACGCAAACAGGATAAACTTTACTAAACTTGCTATTTCATCCTGCTAACAGACTGGGGAAGAAATCTCAGGCTATTAAATTTTTCATTTTTTCTAGGGTTTATACCCATTGATGATAGCTTTAGATTGCTTTACTTCATTAATTCTATTAATCATTTTTCCCCTTTCATGTTTTTTTCCTAACAACACACACATCCCAAAAACAACTGTCCTTTGTATTTGTAAATCAACTAATTATTGATAATTACTGACTGTAAAATATTAGTACCTTAAGGAAGAAGTTATACATTACTTTTATCAAATTAATATTTGTGTTTTCTATCAATAACTTCTGACTCTATTTAAAAATTTTTGCAACTCTAAATTGTATATAGGTAAATGTGGTCTACAAATAGTTTATTCTCTTTTAGGCACAATTATCTAAGACAAATACATTAAACACAAATAACTATATAATTATAGGTCCAGAATTTTATTTCTAAATTCTTGACATCTCAGTAGTATATTTTAACTATTACAAGAATTTCAATTTTTTAAGGGTGCAAAGGAAATGAGAGTTTAGTAGTGGAGTCTGTTTTTGGTGGCCCTATATTGCATTTATGTTTATCTTTTTTTCCAAAGGTTTAATAGTTCCACTGACTTTTGCCAGATAGTCTCATTATATGCATTTATATATATAAAATATGAAGAGAACCTACTAAAGATCAAGCTATTCACAGACAATCTATTTTCAAAAATAGCTATTAGAAAAGACATATTTATCATATATTTTAAACTTCATTAGAAAAACAAACAAACCCTAATACAACTTTACCCAGGTAGCTGCTATAGGCATATATGAATATAAGAGTACTTCTACAGTTTTCAAGTAACTGAAAAACTTTAAGAATAAAGGGCTCCTCCATTTCTGATATAATGAAACATATGAGTCATGGAAAGAGACAGATTCTTGTCAACCAAAAAACAAAACAAAAAAACAGGGAAGAAAGAGCTAACAGAATGGTAGAAATTCAAGATCTCGGACTAATGGAGATGGAAAAGATAAAGTATGAAACATGCTCTATCAAAATCAAGAAATAATTTAACAAGATTGTGAAGATTTCATGGGCCTACTTAAAGTCTAGTATAAGACTGTATTTGTCCACTTGGTAGTTACATATAAAATATAGCAAATAATAAAATATTTAACCCTTAGAAGTTAACCCTTATATAGCGCTTACTAAAACGCCAGGAACAGTTTTCACTGAATCCTCACAGCCACTTTGGTATACAGGTACTATTATTTCTCCCATTTTATAGGAAACTGAGGCACAGAGCAGTTAACTGAATAGTCTATGGTCACCTTGTTAATAAGTAGCAGAGCCAGAATTTTCAGCCTAGCAATTTGGTTATAAACTTGAAGATCAGAAGAAGATACAAAATTTAAAACTTTATCATATGAATACTTTCCCGCAATTAAAAATATTGGTATCTGGTTACAAATGAATTCCTTAGTAACATTTTTCTGTTTATCTGATATAAAAATAACCAATATTATGAAAACATGCAGCCACATCACACAAAAAATCAGGATACATAATAAACCTGAAGTCATTTACTTCAGTCCCTTAATACAACACCCACACTCAAAAATCAATGTCTTCACTTATCTAGGCAATTTTCTTACAAACAAAACAAAACAAAGCACCAACACACCTCTACAGGAGACAGCTTCTCTCCCAACTGTACTTTTTAAGTTTATCTTTACAGTTTTAAAATAAATATAAAAATTGTTCAAAGAACCATTTCTCCTCAGGACCCAGAAGTTAAATAGTGTAAAAATGACCGCTTTTAAGCAATTGAAATTAACAATCTCCCAATACAACTCTATTCTGGTTGCTTTAAAAGCAAAACTATAGTATTTATAAACTTAATTACAATAATCCATGGGAGAGAGATGTGGCAGTCTGCTCCCATAAAGATTACAGCCTAGGAAACCATATGGAGCAGCTCTACTCTGTCCTACAAGGTCGCTATGAGTCCAATCGACTCAATGGCAATGGGCTTTTGTTTAATTATAGTAATACACAAAAAATTTCTGTGCCATGGTCTTCATGTAGTAGAATATATTTCATAACTTGTTAACAAAATTACATCTTTATATACTTCTAAGAGCAGTGGTTCTTAAGTGTGGAAGTATGGTCTGTGGGTCAGCAACATCTGCATTACCCGGGATCTTACACAAATTCTCAGGTTCCACTGCAGATTTACTGAAGTCAGAAACTCTGGGGGTGGGGCCCAGCAATCTCTGTTTTAACAAGCTCTCTGGTTGATTCTGATGCAGACTGAAGTTTGAAAACCACTATAATAGAGTAAGAACAACATTAATTATTTCTAATGTACAGAGCAAAAGTACCCTGCTGTTATTAGTAGATACAATAGTGTACTGATTTGAAAATAGGAGATAGTCCACATTAAGTTGAAATTCAGCCAGGAAACACTTTTTGGGAGGATCAAGAAAATAATACCACAAATGGTAATGTAACATACGGCTCTCAAGTGATACCTAAAGTTTATGCCTTCCTTAACAAGAAATTAAAGGTGTTTTTTTTGCTTAATCAGGGAGCGCTGTTGACTCTTCATTGCCTAATTTTTCTCCCTGTGCAAAGGCTGAAGGTTATTCTTGTGGCATGAAGTCTAGATATTAATTCTGCTTTTAGGCCTTATTAAACTTAATATTTAAATGCTGTTCATATTTAAAATTATAAAAAATATAACCCTTTCTCATCGCAAGTACTATAAAACTGGTATAAATATTCCATTGCAGTCATTCTAATGTGCTTTGAGACCAATGAAAAAGGTACCTCAAGAGAAGGGAAATCAGATCAAATTTTGAACTGTACTAACAAAGCAGATCAAAGCAGATGCCACGCTATGAGTCAGAGCTCTGTTGTCTCCTCCTTTGGCAAAGTGCCCAAAGCTCAGTTGGCACCACAGACCACTGAGTAAATGAAGGATTACCTTCTGGACCAGTTCAATCTTCCTCGTATTTTATTATTTCTAGTTCAAGCCCAAAGGAAAAAAAGAAACATTTATATATATATATATATATATGTATATAAAATTCTTCCACAGCAAAATTTTCATATTCTTAGAACCAGAAGTCACTTGTTCTGCCTAGCAAAATTATGAATATAATGTAAGAAATAGTAAAAACGATGAAAAATAACATAATTAGTCTACTCCTTGAATATGAGAAAGGCATACACTATCTCACCTCTGGAGTGACATCTCGTGGCGCAAACCCTGTTCCTCCAGTTGTTAATATCAAATTAAGTTCCTTTTCATCACACCAATCTATAAGAGTTTCCTGGAAGAAAACAATAGTATTGTCACACGCTGAAGGACTTGTCTGCCTGCTCAAAAGCAACCAATTCCTCAACACTTCATATACAGTGAGGAAACACAGATTCTTTTCAACAATCAAGAAGAAAATTTTGAAGCAAAATTCATAGAGCAGTTTCACGCTTAATCAAAACACACTGCAGTTTCAGGTATTTATTTTACTCAGAGAAAATGAGAGTACAAACACAGAATTCTTCAAAGTAAATGAAACATGGGAAGATACCTTAAAGAGTTCATCATTAATGTTTTCTACATTCATTTTTTAATTTTTTCCCATATAAAAATTTATACATACATTGTTATGTGACCCTAATTGCTCTCCCCATACTGTGACAGCACACTCCCTCTTTCCACCCCTGATTCCCCATGTCCGTTCAACCAGCTCCTACCCTTTCTGCCTTCCCATCTCACCTCCGGACAGAAGCTGCCCGTTTAGTGTCTTGTATCTACCTGAGCTAAGAGGCACACTCTAAATGTTTATTACGTTGTTATATGGCATATCTGAAATTCTTTTCAGCTATTCAAAATATATTTGAGAAAAAAAGATTGATCACTACTTCTTTGCGTTAATTATGAGATCTTATTTAAATAACTGCACCAATCCTGTCAGGTAAATATTAGTACCTCAATTTTTTACATATGGAAACAGATCTACTTGTTTTTTCATTAATAGATTCAGAAAGGTGAAAACACTTACTCATAAGCTCACAAACTAGAAGCAGGAAGAGCTGGGATTCAAACCAGGTCTCCTGGACTCTCAACTTATCCTCTTTTCCTTACATTTTGCCTGTCATTGATCAATTATTTTCTGCTCAGATTGTTTAGGAAAGTTTTGCATTTTCCAGTAATTTATTTTACATGGCTGCCTTAAAAGCAAGATATAAGAATAAATGATTGCTTAAAGCTTCTTTTTTTCCCCAATGCTAATATTATGACAGTATAAGAGACTAGAATCATATACCATAAAAATTTTGAAGCTGGTTGATACCACAGCAGATGTGCCTCTTCATTTTCTAGATGAGACAGCTGAAGTAAAAAGTAGTTAAAGCATCTACCCAAAGTCACACAGCTAGTTTGTGAAAGAAGTGGAACTGGGATCTTTGTCTGCAAACTCTTCTATCTATTGCTAATTCTATTCATCATCCTGCTTTTCTGCTACTTATTACAAAAGATTATATTCATTTAAATTGTAATTATATCCTTGCTTTGGTATTATATTGTTTCTTATCTTCTTTCAATTCAAGATCAAAATTTAATAATAAAATTACACCATTTAGTTGCTGATAACTAAACATGAAATATAAGTATTAAGCTGATAGGTATACAGGTAGTCCCCAGCTTACATATTTAAGATGAACCACATTTACAAACCAGGGCTTCGACCTGTTAGTTCCGGTTTGAACACTTGCTGAGAATTTGCATTTCTAACAAGTTCCCAGGCGATGCTAATACTGCTGGTTAGGGACTAATTCTGAGAACCACTTGTTAGGTGCCCTTGAGTCGGTTCCGACCGAGAATCACCAGTAGAGTCAAAACCACTGCCATCAAGTTGATTCTGATTCATAGTGGCCCTATAGCACAGAGTAGAACTGCTACATAGGGTTTCCAAGACTGTAAATCTTTACAGAAACAGACTGCCACATTTTTCTCCTGCAGAGCGGCTGGTGGGTTCCAACCACTGACCTTTTGGTTAGCAGCGGAGTGCTTTAACCATTGTGCCATCAGGGTTCCTAACTAGTAGAGTAGTGGTCCTCAAAATTTACTATATGTAAAAATCACCTGGGGATCTTGTTAAAGTGTAGATTCTGATTCAGTATATCCGGGGTAGGAATGCAAATTCTCAGCAGGAGTTCAAACTAAACAAATAGGTTCGAAGCCCTGTTACAAGCGTCCTTTTTTTTTTTTGTACATTTTACCATTAATAACAGCGGAGGGTCAGAGAAAAAGAGGAAGGCCCTCAGTGAGATGTATTGACACAGTGGCCGCAACAATGGGCTCAAGCATAACAACAATTACGAGGGTGGTGCAGGACCGGGCAGTGTTTTTTGTTCTGTTGTACACAGGGTCACTATGAGTCAGAACCGACTTGATGGCACCTAACAACAACAACATCGTTAGTAATATGTGCTACAGAAAATGTTGCAGCAAGTAATTTGCTGTGATGTTATCATTCTCAGGTGTTCAACTGCAATGTTTAAAGATTGTATTTATAAAGATACTGATAATGAAAGGCAATAATAACGAAACCTAAAAAAAAAGCTATTTGACTTATGTCAGAACTGACTTATGATGGAGTCATCAGAACAGAACCCCGCTGTGAGTTGGGGACTACCTATATGTGGAATAAAACGTTCCTCAGTTCTCAAATTCATCAATGACATAAAATGCAGCGTAATTATTTAGAAGGACAAATCCAGGTTCTAAAATGATATTCTCAGTATCCTTGCACATTTTTGTTTTATTCTGGTACCACAAGAATGCAGTGACCAAAGCTTCTCTAGAAGGGCATTTTCCCCTGCTATGATTCACTAATGGTAACACACTACTTTTCAAAAGATATAGGTTGTAAATTATTAACAGCCTAACTGAAGAACTTCCATCCCTGAGTTAGCTGTAATTTTATTCTGAGGAAAGCTCACCGAAAATCAATGAGTATTACAAGGGTGACTATTTGGTGGTTTCATAGGCCAGATTTAAAACTTCCATTGCCAGGTGCTTCTATCTATTTAAGAAGTTGAAAAGCCTAACTACCCTCATTCTAAGTAGTTAATTATTATCTCTGGTATATAAAAAATATGGTTGACACCACAATTCAGTAATGGGCAGATTAACTAACCTCGTTTTCCCCAATGGGTCCTAAAATATTTTAGATCTCGCAACATTCCTAAATGCCCCATTACAGTACTGGAGCGCCTGTGTACAGCTTTCTCATCTCTGACCACACTCCATTTATATCAGATCATTATAAAAGTAATATGGATTTGAACTTGTAGCAACAAAATATCTCAAACACTAAAGAATATACATCAAACACCAACTTTCAGTATTCACATTTCACGATGCTAATAAAGACAGTCAAAATAGTTTCTTTATACTGAAGAACTATACTATTTGGCAATACTTCCTTAGAACATAATTCATGCATCAATTAAGGAAACATTTATGGAGTGCCTACAATGTATTTGATGTTAAGCACTAAAAAAAATAAATGAAGCACTGATCTTGATCTCAAACACCTCACAGTCAAGTAATGGTTCTCAACCTTGGTTGCACATTAGAAGCATCTGAAGAGCTTTAAAAAATACTGATGCTTAGTCCCATCAGTGGGATGCAGCTTGGAGACTGGTATTTTTAAAAGCTTCCCAGGTGATTCTAAAATACAGCCAAGTGATTGGGAACTACTAGTTTAAAGAGATAATCTGCTCAGTTACCTGAGGGTGAATTTCACAGCTAACTCAACTGGGTGAGCCTACTAAAATGTCATACAGCTTAAATTTAGTTGCAACATAATAACATTATTCAAGGTTTTCCATTCCCAAGATTAGATAACTAGTAACACCTACTTTACAAGATTTCTTTCACTTGCCTTCATAATATTTGACATCTTGAACTTAAAGGTTTGTTCAAGTATTTGGGAAGTGATCAGTCTTCTGTTCTCCAAAGAAATCAAATGATGTATTGCATTGGGAAAATCTGCTGCAAAAGACCTCTTTAAAGTGTTAAAAAGCAAAGATGTCACTTTAAGGACTAAGGTGCGTCTGACCTAAGCCACGGTGTTTTCAATCGCCTAAAATGCATGTGAAAGCTGGATGATGAATATGGAAGATTGAAGAATTGATGCCTTTGAATTATGGTGTTGGTGAATACTGAATATACCATGAACTGCCAAAAGAATGAACAAATCTGACTTGGAAATACAGCCAGAATGCTCTTTAGAGGCAAGGATGGTAAGACTTCATCTCACACACTTTGGACATGTTACTAGGAGGGACCAGTACCTGGAAAAGGATATTATGCTTGGTAAAGTAGAGGGTCAGAGAAAGAGAGGAAGACCCTCAATGAGATGGATTGACACAGTGGTTCCAACAATGGACTCAAGCATAACATTGATTGTGAGGATGGCACAGGACCAACCATTGTTTTGTTCTGTTGTACATGGGGTTGCTATGAGTTGGAACTCACTTGATGGCACTTAACTACTACCACCACTACTAACGAGGCTAATTAATTTTTCTTACAAAATAATTGGAACATGCTACATTTTAGGAACCCTGGTGGCACAGTGGTTAAGAGCTACGGCTGCTAACCAAAAGGTCAGCAGTTCGAATCCACCAGCCACTCCTTGGAAATGCTATGGGGCAGTTCTACTCTGTCGTATGGCGTCGCTATGAGTAGGAACTGACTCCACGGTAATGGGTTTTTTTTTGTTTTTTTTTTTTGGTGTTAAAAATCCACTACAACTCCTTAAATGGAAGATTTTTAAATGGGCTAGGGTTTTCTGTTTCTAAGATTTTTTAAACTGTGAAGTTACTAGTTTTTATAAATGATACCATTTATACTAACAAAACAACAACAATGCGAACATTTTCAAGATACTCTCTCCACATTACAAGTTTGTTTTTAAAAGTAATTATTTTCTTACTCATTGTTAAAAATACAAAGTCAACCATAAAGGCCAGATAAAGTGTGAGACTGAAAAGAGCTTATATAAGGAGTTTGACAAGTATCAGCTCTGCCTTTGTTGTTTTTTGAACACACGTGCAATATTAGAATTATGTTTGGATTCTTTCTAGGCTTCCTTATAAGTGATAATACAATTTGTAAATCCACTTAAATTAGGCCCATATAAACTACATTATAATGTGCTTAAAGCGAATGAATAAGTGAGCGGGGCACAGCCATCTCCTTGTATATTGGAACACCCACTCTTCTCTCAGCATAGCTTGCCTGTAACGTGTCAGATGC